TGAAGAGGTTGTGACACCGCTCAGGAATCTACTTTGCTTTGTCTCCCTGTCAGCATGGCTAGAGGACTGATAGCTGTCACTGCACGATGCCCACATGTGGCAAGACAGATCCAGTTTAGTCCCCTGTATCCCTCAGGACCCACACTCACCCAGCTAAGCATGCACAGCCCGTTAAAAACCACACCTGCACACGGCTTCATATATACTCTGTATGGGCAGCTGACAACATGCATGTAGGCCTTTATGCCTACATGTTTTCTTGAAGTGTCTGAAACTAGACTGATAAACACCTCTTCAAACTGATACTCAGCTTCATTCTCCGTTATCCAAACATTTCATCAAAGGCCACCTACCTACAAAGAAGACATCTCAACCCATGGCCAGACACGCCACATACCAAAGCCTTTTGAAAACACGGCACTAAAACTACAGTTTGTCCCTTAACAGAGCAGAGGTAACAGCCATTATTTTATATCTGTGATATTTTGAAAATTCTAAAAGACTTAAATCTCATAAGTTGATTATGCCATTAATTCGTGAAACGCACTCACACCTGGGGTGCAACACAGCAGCTGTTTCAGCTGAGCAGGAAAGGAAAGCCAAGAGGGTAAGGTAGCTTGGTGGTAGTGTCCCAAGGAGAAGCCCTCTTGCTCCAAGTGTCCCAGTGCTGCCACTCCACGCTAGAGAACCGTTCTGGTTCCAGCAAAGGAGGACAGCAGCTCTATCACTACGCCAACCACCCCCTCTCCCAGAGGGTACTAACCCCTCTTCCACCTGAGTGTGGGCTCTAGTGGAGAGGGCAACTGTTGCAGCCTGAGCCCTGCATTTCTCAGGACATGGGTTTTTGTGGGAAGCTGCTCATACATGGATTATCAACCCAGAAGGGATCTCTCTGGTCATTCATCCCTCTGACCTCCTGCAAAAGGGAGATCACAGAGACTAACTCAACGATATCCCCTTCAAACTGCAGCATAAAAAAAGAAAAGGAAAAAATAAAATCCCATGAAGATAATTTTTTATAGGTTGCTCTGTGAAGAGGGCTTCATTTCTAGCCTAAGTGCGTCTGGCTAAAACTGCCAGCTGCAAAGCCCAGTTCCTGCACAGCGAGCTGGGCAGAGCAGCCCTCCATCAGCAGCTTCAGTTCCTCACACAGGCACCTCCAGACCATGGCTGCATCACCATGTACTTCCATGAAGGGTCGCTGATCAGGCCCAGGCCGACTCAGCTAGTGATAAGGAACAAGATGAAGGATTATGGTGACTGGGGGGCAGGCCAGAACCACTGTCCCAAGCAAGGGGGAATGCTTGGACGGCCACCAGCCAGGTCCTACACGTGGAGGCTAAGGATGCTCCATGAGAAACACTGCAGCACAGCGAGCTTTGCACCACAGGCTGAAGATGGGTAGGAAGGAAGGAGGCTGATCCTCTTCACAGCACTCCCCCCCTTTTAAGTGACAACTCTGAACGCAGTGCTGACAAAATCTCTGACTTGGCTGGAGCAGCAGCATAGGAGCTGCTGACAAAGCAGGAGAGGACGGGAGAGTCCAGTGCGACAGCGCTGGAGCTGCGCAGCCACCGGGCCTGGGGGAGAGGACAACATGCCGGTGCAGGGCTGGTGGGCCAGAAGACTCTACCCCTGGTTCCCTGTCTGCTCTGGGGTCATTCCCCTTTAGGAGAGCACCCAGGACAGGGAGCCTTAAGCTCACACAACGGCCATGACGTCCTTTGTCGTTTTGGTGCAGAGCCAGTGGCGGGGCCCAGTGGCCCCCAGCCCTCCCAGGCTCATCCTGTGCCCTTTGCCAGAGGCGCAGGCCTGGGGCAGGCTCCAGGGATGTGGCCATGCTGCCCTCCCAAAGGGGGACTCAGCGGCGAAGGGGTGTTCCTGCCAGTCCCACCTTAGCCTGGCATGTCTGGCCTCTCTCGGGTCCCTCTACAGTCAGGAGCAAGGGAGAGAAATCTCCAGAATATCGATTATGGCAGGAGATCCAGCCTAGAGGAGGCTCTCTCCTCTGAGAGGGATGGGAGCTAAGTTTTGCTAGACTAAAGACATTTCGATGACCATTTTTGATACCTTCTGTCCCACCCCGCCACCTCAACACCGCTGCGATCCTTGCAGAGAGCACTGCCTTAACCTGACAGAAATACCCCTGATGGGACAGAGAGGTCCTGATGTTGGGGCACCCCAATACCAAGTCCACCCACCGTTCCTCTCAGAAGAAACTGGGCTGAGGGATCCAGTTTGTCTTCAGGGCACGTTACATGGCAGCAACAGCAAATCACTTACGTGAAGTCTGCAAGCAGCCCGGGGACTGTCTTAGCTTATGCTGGGCTATGCAGATTCGGGTCAAGACAGAGCATGGAGTTTGTTTAAAGACACTTCTGCCTTCCACCTCCGGGAGAAGAAAGTAGGCCTATCATTTAAAGGAAGAGGAAAGGCCTTACATTGCTCTCAGAATGAGCAGGATCCCACACAACTTTCCTCACTCGGAAAGATTTGGCCATCACATTCTTGACAGTAGTGTTAAACAACAACAACAAAAAAAAAGAGGGAAAAGAAAAAGCAAGTTGTTAATAAAATATGGGGACAACCTGGGAATTTGCTCCCAAAAGCCCATGATAAAATACCTCCAGCTGAGAGCTGACCTCTACATTATATTCCCCAGAGCTCTGCCTTGACTTTCCTTAAATGCATGGGGCTCAGGGCTTCTGTCACTTCTTTGGCATGCCTGCTTACAGCCTGAGAGGTTTTATTCTGAGGAAGCTTTTTCTTCACATTCAGCTTAAATGTGCCATTTCTTGAAGTCATCCCCTTGTCTTTTATACTCTAGCAAGCAAAACAAGTGTAAATTAAATGGAAGACACATGAAATCTTTATAAAGCCCTGTGTTTCCTCTAGCATGAAAGTTCCTTCTCTTTGGAGTAGAATAGGTCTTTACTCTGTGCTGTATTTTTCCCCATCAGAAAATGAAGAATATAAATTTTCCTCATGACTTGAATTTAGCTTCATCAGCAGCCCCCTGCTGATGTAATTCAACCCAACAAGATTTTTCTTTTTCTTATTTTTTTTTCCTGGTGAGCTGCTGCCCCTTTTCCCCTCCTTCCATCAGTTCAGACATGGAAAACAAGGGAGGAATTAGACAGACAGAACTTATTATCTAACAAGCTGCAACTTCAGACTGGGCAGGAATAACATTTAAAATATAAAAAGCAAATTTTATCAAGCCTTTTTCTCCCCAGAGACTGCCACAAGAATATTCCTTGTTTGTTGCTGAGAATGAACAATTTTTCTCTTTCATTTCTGCTTTCTGTCACATATTTCATTTTGGCTGCCCCTTCTGTCTTTCAGCTAGGGACCTAGGCTGCTAATGCAGAATCACAGATAACTCAACAATATGCCTGTATTATCTTTTTTTTTTTTTTTTCTTCTAGTCTGCCAGGTAATTGCAACCCTAAAAGCTTTTGCATATTTACCACAGAAACATGTCTCTCTTGGAGGATGGGACTGTCATCAGGTAGAATATTTCATTTAATAAGCCTCTTCTGAGGTATAAACTAGGGTTGGGGATTTTTTTCTGGCCTCCTTCAGAGCAAAGGACAAGCAGATAAAAATCAGCTGCTGCAGTGTTACAATGTCAAAGTTCCTGTTCCTGTGAAAATTAACTCTTCCCAAGCTCAGCTCAGGTGGGCTTTGCCACTGTGATGTTTATGAAGTAGGAAGAGAGTCTGCTGTCAACTCATGTTGTTTCGCTGTCCCCAGTCCTCCCCACGTATAAAACAGATTTCTTTCCTATTTACAAACAGAGCAACTACCCTGCTTTTCTGTAACCCATCTGATGAGTTGTGGATGCTGCCAGGACTGATTTTCATTAAATCAGTCATCAAAAAGGATCACATTTTCCCTCTTTGCCCCTGTTTCACAGTATTACAACAACAAAAACATGGCTTGAACATTCCTAAATTCAGCTGTCATCTAAAGACAAATTCCCCACACACACACTATTTTCCCCCACCCCTGAGGTAGCAGAAGAATTGCTTTTCTCAGTTCTTGGGATGTTGAATCTAGTGCACTGGTACCGAAGAGAAGGAGGGTCTGAGGAGAGCACCTACACAGAGACTTTGCGTCTTGGAGTCAAGATAGAGGGAGAAGACGACCTTCCAGGGGTTATGAAAAGAGGCTGCTTTGCTGTAACTGTTCAACAGACTGAAGAGGGATATAGCTGGTTCACATGTTTTGCTTTGGGCTCACCTACACAGAGGTCAGAACTCCATCCTAGCACGTAACATACCTGTAATTAAAAGCACTGTGAGTGGGAATTGACTGTCTATGAAAGGTTCTCAGTCCAACACCAAATTACTGACAATACTCATTCATCCCGACCAACAGCTTCGCACATGGAGAAAGGTGTTTCCAAGCCGGCCAGGCTGCCTGCCCACCAGGAGGGAATGGATGGGAACCAGCCAGAATGCTCTCATTGACTCTAGCAAGCTCCACAGCCTGTATGAAAACTACTCCTTGACAAAGCATCTTCTGCATCCACACAGTTTTCATGTGGGCCAACCTTATTCTTGTAAAGTCCCTGGTTTCACATACGAATAAAGACTGGAAGACGCTGCTGAAATATGGATTGATTGTTTAGGTTAAGTTCTTCCTGAAACCAAGAACCTACTTGCATTGACTTGGAAAGGAAATACAGACTCTCCAGATCCATCCCCTCTTCTGGAAACAGTCCCAGAGAGAATGAAGTACTGACAGAGGTGAAAGGCTTTCTAAATTACAACTGGCAAACTCTTTTTTTACAACATTTTATGGTTATTTAGAAGTTTACATGGTTTTCACTGCAAGAGGTTAGGATACCATTTTTTTCTATCACCAACAAGTCATTCTAAGAGCCATCCCAGTTTAGGATTAAGGGATGACTCTCATTCATTTACAGGAACGTAGGAAAATTCCCATAGGTAAAATATTTCTCCTAGTAACGTTACATGAGCCCAGTCTCTTACCTGTAGTATCTGGATTGAAGGTAGGTAGAACACACAGCTTTAGACACATGGCTAGCTGAACCAAAGTCTATGACCTTGACCCTATATGGCTGTCGGGATGGGTCTACCAACATGATGTTCTCTGGTTTGAGATCAGCATGAATCAGTCCCAGGCTTTTCAGCTTCATTAGGGCAGTTGCTACCTGCTGGAGAATTGGTCGAATGTACTTAAGGGGCAAGGGACTGAATTTGTTTTGTTTTAGAAAATCATAGAGGTTCTGCTCCAACATTTCAAAGACCAAGCACGTGTGATTCTTGTGCTGGAAGCACTCGTATGCGCGGACAAAGTTGTAGTCATCCGCACTTTCTGTGCTCAGCCGAGCCAGGATGCTCACTTCAATCTGGCCTTGCCGGGCATAGGAAGGATGGTTCTTTAGGATCTTGATAGCCACAATCTCATTAGTGCCCCGTTTCCAGCATTTGACTACTTGTCCAAAGGTTCCACGGCCAAGAAACTCTAACACTTCGTACGTGTTGGTCATGGAACAGAGCACCTCATGTTGCACCAGCTGGTAATCCCCTTCGCTGTTGGAGCCACTGTTTTTGGAGGTCGCCGTGGAGGTGGTGGCAGTGGCTACAGTGGCCCCACTGGCATTGTTCTGAATCATTGGTGGATGCTCTTCAATGATCTGCACGCTGCTTGTGTTCTCGATCTCCTCACTCTTGCGTTTAAGTCCACATTTTTGGTAGGTGTCCAGAAGGCTCACAGTGCTGCGACGCATCAGGTTGTGTGGCCCGCCCAGTGTTTGCCCAGACACTGCAACCACACCAGAAGTGCTGTTGGCGGATGTCACCACGATGTGCCCCGTGCTTGCTGGGAAGATGATGGTCTGTTCGTAAGGGATGCTTGGATTGGGGATCTGGAGGGAGGCGTTGACGGCTGCTGCGGCGGCTGCTTGGGAGGACTGCACGTTCTTGCTCTGGCTGTAGACTTTGCTGTGTGTGCCGTACCCAGTCATATCCCAGTTCGAACTCGGCTCCACTTTCAGTTTCTTCACGCTACAGAAGGCACTTGACTGAAGGGTGTGAGGAGAGAAAACTTGCACATGCGAGGCCATACCTGCAACACAACATCAGAGTGAAACCACAATGTCAAGATGCCTTCCCCAGCTATTTTAATTTGTTCAGTGGCAGGAAGGGAAAATGGGATACAGACTTCAGATACAGCACACGCTCACCCAGAAAAATCAAGCAGAAATATGTATTCAACACAAATAAAATACTATAAAATAAATCATTACCCCTGACTGAACTATACTAATAACAACCGACATGCTTGCTCTCTTGCTCTCCCCATTCTCATTTTGAATAACAGGAATGTAAATGTTATTTTTACCTCCTCTGCCTAAAGAGACTCCTATTCCCATTGTCTCCAGGAATATGTCTAGCTCTCAGGAGGAACTGATGTCAAATACTGCCAAGTATTCTGCCTATGGAGGCCAAATCTCAAATCCTCAGGCTCATCCTATATTAAACAGTTTGGTGGAGCTGACTGAAGCCCCCCATTTATTCCCATAAAACCACTGTGTAGCTTCTGGCCTGCAGGGAGCCAGGATGGGACCAGGAGGTGATACACCATGACAAAATGGAGGTGCCTGCACAAAGTTGAAGAACCAGGACAGAAGCAGCAGATGATGTTTCAGGTTGCTTGCCAAGTCTGCGTGTGGGAATCGTGCACAATGCTGGTCTGTGCTCAGGGACACTGGAGATGGGAGTTACACAACATGAGCTTCACTGTGTGCTCTCAGTTCTCCCAGATCTATAAAATTGTGCTCATCTATTCTTATTCACAGTGACAATACCATCACTGGAAAGCAGATCCCCTGGAATTGAACAGCATTGTTAATGAAGCAGCATACACATTAGCATGTGGCAGAACTAGGTCCTAATATAACTTTACTTTTTAAGAAAAGACTAAAACCGTTTTTCCCGCAAGCTTCTTTGGTTCTAGAACAGTTAATAATCCTCATCTTTATTAAAAAAAAAAAACAACAAACAAACAAAAAAAGAAACCCACAACCTCACAACCAAAGTGAAAATAAAGTATTACTGAGACAGACTTACTGAAGGATTCTGAGTAATATTCCACTGAAACAGAAAACGCTCCTATTCAGAAAAAAAAAGCAGTGGTCCAGACAGAAGAAGACATCTAAGTCCTGACTTGCTGCCAGCTTTCCCTGCCCAGGGTAGGGATGGTACCACTGGGGCAAAGGTATTGTGAAGGGCACAAATCTATGGGGATTCCTGGGGAAGGAGTCGACGCCTGGTGGGAGTTAAAGCAGAAAGGCACAGCCTCCTTCACCCTTCTCTCTGTCGTCAGTGTTTCTTTTTAATGAACCAGAATGACTAGGGAAGAAAAAGACAATATGCTGAGCTGGCACCGTTGCTGAATTATTAAGCACAAACATAACCTTGACTTGTTTTCAACTTTAAAAAGTTAAAAGCTGAATGAATGCTTCAGTGACAAAACCACAACAAACTTCGCAGTGCACATTGATGACTTCTTCACGTGGAGACCTGAGAGTAACTAACACTCGGCTCCCTTTCCTAAAAGAAACCCGTTCTCCAGTAGTCCGTGTTGCTCTTTGGAAGATTTTCTGGAGCTCATGTGTACACATACACACTCACATGCATGCATGCATGAACACATACACCCAGATAGAAAAATATGAACGTTGCTCCACACTTCCAATGCTGAGTAGCATGGTCAAGCAAACACACTTAAACACACCCAACACCCGTTTTCCAGTTAATTCCCAGCAGCCCAAAGCCCGGGAACTGCTCATGAGAGGGGCGCTGTGGCAAGCCAAAAACCACTCTACGAAGCTACACAGAAGTAACCAGCACAGCAATCACCTCAGTTTGCTTCAACACCCCCACCTTCATCCCTACCGCAGTGATGAATTTGTGAAGACAGGGCAGACGCAGAAGAAAACCCGTATCAGGACATGTGGTGAAACCCTCACCCCTGCTGGAACATGCAATGCAAAACCCCACTGACCCTGCTCTAGCAATGAAGGCCTGCAAAAAAAAAAAAAAAAAGCCCTGCATGCCCTCCTTTGCAGATGTGACCCCTGGCTTTAATATGATTTCTGATGCTCTTTGCTGCAATACGTATTAACACACCCCACCAACCTCCTTGGCAGCAATTTCCAAGGCCCCTGCAACTGGGTCCTTGGACTTCACCAGCTCCCTGCCCCACTAAGTGTTTTCTCTCCTCTCTCCTTTCCACAGGGCGATGATGTTGCCACGAATGCCATAGCATGTGGCACGGGGTGAGCTCAGAAAACCGCAGCAATATTACGCAACTTTTCATCCCAGACACAAATATCGTATGTGAGCGAGCCAAAACTCTGTTTGTTTTTCCACTGATTAAGAAGAGTCACGGTGTTCCTTCCAGTAGAGTACCGACCTGCCTGGAGAGTGGGGTTGGTTTGATGTATGTTTTCCCCCTGGATGCGAATAATAAAGCAGACGTAATTGGTAACATATTGTGGACCTAGCAGAGGTGTAATTTATAGCTTTATGGCTTTCATTCCATGGTGTGCTCGAGCAATATCTCTTCATACAAAATAAAAAAGGAAAAAAGCCATTGACGCAGAACAAGAAGTTCTTCTCACACGCTCCTCTAAAGATAACACCAGAAGACCCAGGCATCCCAAATTAAAGTCGGGGATGTGAAGCACAGCAGCTGCAACTTCCTCAGCGCTGCTGTAAGAATCAGGATAATCGCGACCATTAAGAGACAGACTTTCAACTGGTGCAAACTGGCAGGGCTCCGGTTGATATCAGCTGATGCTAAAAACAAGGTCAGCAGTCACTTAATGTTGTCAATGTCAGATGGCCGCCTGTGCCCCTTGGTGAAACGAGTTGTTGTTAAGGACTGGTTTCCACATCAACAACCAGCCCCTTGCTGTCCCTGCAACACTGCTGGCAGCCTCAGCAGGGGGACAGGAATGGGGGACAAACACCGACCCACCCTGCTACCTCAAAAGTGGAGGGGTGGAGGGAAGCAGAGCTGTCTTGTGGCTAAAGAGGGGACTTTGGACTCCTTGGCTGCCCCTTCCACCCTCCTCAGAGGTTATATCTCATCACAGGAGAAATATTTTTTCCCCCTAAAAAAAAGAAGTATGAAATCTTCTTCCTTCCATCCAAAATAATTTTCTCACATTTAAGGTTTTAGGGGCACCCGTTGTAAGGAGAATAACTCGGCCAGCTATTCAGCATAGTCCGATACCAAGAAATTACAGGCTGACTGACAGCTTGGTGATGGGAAAAGGCAGCTTCTGCAACAAAGTCGTTTTTATTGCAAATTTGCCTGTGCAGCTAATGTGAGAAAAACACAACCTTAAATTTCCTGAGGACTCTATCAAATTGTGCTGCTGGCATGTTCTTTTTTTTTTTTTTTTTAAAAAAAAAAAGGCTCTTTAGTCCATGGACATAGCAGAAATAGTAATAAATGTGAATAAAAGTTGGATGGTTTGTTACAGGGATCAAATTCCTCATTACAGCCTGTAATATGATTTGCAATTTCAGCCTTTTGATTACATAGGCCAGCAATAGCTTGCCACGATGTCCATGAAGAAACAAGCTGGCAGTAACAGGGCAATCCATGCCAGCCAAGCCCTGTGACAGCGACACCCCCCTGAGCATCCCCCAGAGCCAGTGGGGATGCTCCCAGGGAGCATCCTCACTCCTGGGGTCTTGGAAAGATGAAGGGACCATAAGCCATGGAGGGATGGAAAATGGCCTGCTTTACTTGGGAAAAGTCCTCTTAAACCCCTGCTCACAGTTCTGCCAAGAAACCTCCTCCGGGAGGCTGGGCCTCTTTTGCTGCCTCCCTTTGCTGCAGCAAGATCCTAGCAGATACCTTCCTACAGTTTTTGCACAACATGGCCCGAGGCTGTCCCCTAGCTCCTTGCCTTTTTGCTCTCCACCAGGAGCGGAGGGGATGAGGATGCTCAGGACGAGCAGCCCAAATCCTGGCTCAGTCAGCCCCACCTGCACTAGCAAAAGCTTTGTCTGGACTAAGGCAAGTGGTGACACGGACTGAACTCACCAGGGCTCAGGCTTGGTCCCTGCCTTGGCAGGGGTGCAGGGCAGCCTCCCGCAACCCCAGTTAGCCAGTTAGGCTGCAGCCAGGACTCTGCAACAGCTAAATAATACAAGCCCTGAAGAGTGCAGGTCTAATTTTTATATCACCCTTGTGCAGGGTGAGTCTCTGGGCTGGGAGCAGAATCAAGGTTGGGCACAATGCATTAAATGAAATTGATAGTTCCTTTCTTTAATAATGAGTTTTAGTGCAGCCATTTAAAGCTGTCACACAATTGACAGTAACTGGATTTAATGGGGCCTCCCCGTCCTTGATACGACTCACGTAACTCCCCGTAGCATCCACATGAGCTGAAGTACGTAGTGTGCAGCCAGGGAAAAATGTTAAAACAGCTTGAATGACTTTTATTAAAAGACTTGACTTTTTTTTTTTTTTTTATTTCCCTGAGAACTCCTCCCACGTCAGCTTTCACTTAATAATAATTTAGCAGGTGCTATTTACAATTCAGATGGCCCTCTTCTGCATGCATACACAAATCACGCAGCCGCCTCACTTGTACTTCCAACAGGTTTCAGGAAAGCAAATGAGGTAAAGTTCCCTATCCACCCACCTCACCCCAAAGGGCAAAAAATACACTTTGGGGACTGAAGAAGGAACAGTTTGAAAGTCACTGGTATTTTCTTCTGCTTTACTCCTAGCACTTACTGCTGATTTATAAGCGTGGCCTTTGCGGTGGCAAGAGACCAAGCCCCTGCCCTGTATTAAGTAGGCAGTAAGACCTTTCGCAGTACCTGCAGAGCTGCCAGTGCACTGTAACCAGAGGCTGCTTGCTGACTGCCGCCAGAACGACAGTGCCTGCTTGAAAAATACCGTCGAAAGCACATGGCGTGTGTTCAGCATATAAATGATGCTCACAAGACACTCCTGAAATAAATATCTTCCACTTCTCCCCAGAGAGGCACAAGCCTGCAAACTCATGTGCACACCCAGGTTAAGAAGGCAATG